CTTACCTTTGGACAGAATGAATCGGCCTCTGGAGGTAATTATCTCTCTCCATTGACCATAGAAGCAATCTTTACAACTGGTGTATACTAGATACCTAATGCTATATGGCAAGTCAGGTGAACTGAATCTTCTAGTTCAATAAATACAAAGGAGAAAAATTATAATACTACTAAAAATATCAGAAGCAAGGTGTTAGAAGAGGGATTCTGCAGAGCAGAGCAGCAGAGACCTTTTGGGGAAAGACAAGAAATAAGAAAGTGAGTAAAGACAGCAGAAGCTGACCTGGCAGTTTGTCTTGAATGTCAGCATAGATAAAAACGCAAGTGAGAGCAAGGGACAATATACCACTAGTACAGACTGAGAATGTCTTTATAACATCACAAGACAAGAGAAGAAAAAAATTTAGTATTCCCCAAATTCCCCAAATACTATCTCCCCATTTTTAATTAACTGGTCATGAGGCATGGAAGTGTTGTCAGAAGAAAGAAACCAAGACAGGTCTTTTCTGTTGCCTGTCCCAATCTACGTCATGTTGAAATCCAAAATGCATTAGAGATCTGATCATTGTTATGCTGTCCAAAACTTACGAAATCAATACAACATATAAAAAAAGAAAAAGAATTATGGACATCTATGATCTTATTCACAAGAGTCCTGATAATTCAGAATTGTCCACACAATAAACTCATACTGATACAAGATGGCTTGTTTCCCAAGGCAGAAGAATCCATTAGAAGTAAATATTAAAGCAGTATGTAAAAAAAAGAAATCCTTCATCTTAATTGCCACTTCATTAAGTAGCAGGCATAGAACCAAATCATGGCAATCTCAATACTATGCACTGATACACTGATGACGTAACATACTCACAAAATTTGCAAGCTAGTTTATAAGAGATTGGGTAATTACTGCAGGGTATAAAAACAATCTTGAGCTGCTAGAAGGACGTACTTCCACCTCAGTACTTGTAGTATTCTCCAGTACAAAAGATAAACTTATCAAATGTATTGATGTAGCCAGGCTTGACTAATACATCCTGCTCTCAGATGGTGAGCTGATGGAGCAACCAGGAACAACTAAATATATCATGATTCTTCACGTAAGTAAGATGTTAGCATAAACATGTTGCAATCAAAAGACTTTTCTACCCTAAAAGCTACGAAGAATAAGTTTTGATCCCATTGAAGTCAGCAACAATATTCTTAGAAACAAACTAGGTCAGGATTTTACTGTTCCAATTTGTAGCTGTACTTCTTTTCAGATAACACCTGAAATAGCACCAGCTGTATTCAAACACTTCATGGCTGTTTTTTACTGTGAAGAGCAGAGTCCTTGGCAGAGGCCTATTTTATAGCTGTTTTGTAGTATTTCATAAAAAAGAAAAGCAGCTTTAACAACTAGAAATGATATTTCAACAGGTCCAAAAAGTAATGCTGACTACGCTTCTCAGAGAAGAAAGCAGTGAATTAGGAAGAGATTGAATGACTGAGAGATGTACTGGAAAGTGGTTTGTTAAGCCTCGTGTGGCCAAATTCTCCTAAAAATCATCACTGCAAATCGAAGAAGACAGTCCTTAAAAGATGTATTACAGAAGTGTGAGTTTATTCTAGGCTTTTCTCCACTAACAAAACAATTATTAATATAGTATAAGCAATGGAAACCATATGTGCTTTTTTGAACAGTAGAAAGTTAAAAAGCTTTTATTATGGACTATGTAATATTCTTAAGACTCTTCATCGAGGCTTATTTGTAGTTCAGCTTAGCAAACTGCAGCTCCTCCTGTTTTAATGTCCTTCTCTTCCGTTACTCCTTCCAGAGACCTCTGCGGCCTACAGGCGGTGAGAAGGATGGAGAGAGGCAAAATCAATTCTGTCCTTTATAAACAAGTATCATAAAGTATAACCAACTCTATGTAATATAATGGTGTATGTAATGGCGTTGGAGGGTAGGGTGAGGGCTGAATTTAAGGCTGACTGCACATGACAGCAGATGCACTGAGAACCTCGCTCCCTTCAGCCCTGCACTGGACCAGCACAGCAAACATCAACTGCCTGGGATCCAACAGAGCAAACATCAACTGCCTGGGATCCAACAGCCAGTGTCTGCTGACTCTGTGAGGACACAGAAAGCTTGTATCTCTAGTATGCGGTCTGAGAGCGGCTGGCAAGGTGAGATGTGAAGGCTACGCAGAATTGCAGCCTTTCCTTAGTCTTGGGAGAGGGAAAAACTAAAAATCAGTGATTGCTACAATTTATTTAAACATGCTAAACAGGTCACACTCATCAGCCATATTTAAAGTAGGAAAGTAGGAGCAGAACTGGAAGTTTTTTTGGTGATATTCCAATTTGTATACAGTATTTTAATTATCACATGTTCTCATTAGCATATGTTCTCAGTGGAAGCAAATGTAGGAGATGGACTCCAATTCGTGTGGTGTGTGTCTGTATTTGAAAATTTGGATTCATATGTAAGGGAGGGTGGAAACAGTCCAAGAAATGCACTTAAGTAGCTCTTCCTGAAAAACAGTGGTAAGTATTATGTGGTAAGAAGGGATGCTCTTCCTGTTCTGCCTGTGAATGCTAATATAAGGAAACGTAAGGTCATGCACCTATGTCAGAAAAGAGAAAGAAAGAAAGAAATAGACCAAGCCATGCTCTAAAATACAACCATCCTCTGAATCATCCAGTAAATCTAGTATATGGTTGTGTTTTCTTCTTTTTAGTCCTTGAGGCAGAGGAAATTCCTTCCAGTGTGCTTTACAAAATGTTAACTGGGCCATTAATGATTAACAAATAAATAATACTGTCTACAGTTATCTTTATGAAGTCACTCCCTCTCTCACTGTAAATATACCACGGTAATTCTGATGGCTGTTTTGATAAATGAGCTCAGATACAAATTTTAGAGGTTAGTTTGAGGTGAGTGAATGAAAATGCTGTCATGACATCTAAGACCTGGAGGTATACCTGTGACAATGTGGAACTTGAGAGCACTTACTGCTTGACATCCTTAGGGTTTAAAGGCACAATTCACATGAGCCTCAAATAAAGCAAGAAAAGATGCTGCCTAGTATGACTTTTTTTCTACCAGTTGTGATGTACACTTTAAAAATGTTTGGTTTTCATCTATTATTTAATAAACTAGTACAATCTTTACTACTGTTTGGGGAGATGTTGTTAGACAAATAGGTTTTTGTTGTCTTTTTATCTTTCCGGTTTTTGCAAAAGCAAATGGAGTCTCTTCATGCCATTAACCAAAGTGACTTGTAAACAAAGAGGCGATTTAACAGCATCCCCACAGCATTACATTCCTACTTAACCCTGTGAAGACTGCAATGTGAAAACTCCAACGATCAAAGAGTTGCTCCTTTGCTAGGATTCTGGTAAATAATCTGACATTTTTACAGATATGTATTTGCACTTTTTGCAATTATGTTATTCAAGAATATATTCCCACAGGCAAGGAGCCCTTACAATAGTTTTCCTATCCACTCTGCACCTCTGATTTATTTGCCTGCTTTATATAACATTCATTTAGTGGAAGTGAATGATGAGCATTGTCAGAACTGCAGTGTAAAACAGACCATTTCCAGGAAAGGAAGTAAGCTGTAACATCAAAGGAATTTGTGAAGGGGAATGGCTGCTCTGTAGACCAGCAAGGCTATTTGCATTCACTGTATTTGTTACAAAATATACATTTATTTTCTATTAAATTGCCTGCTGCACTATTTATCACTGTCATAGTTTGGGGTGTTAGTGACCTACCCATCTTCCCAGCCTCTCAAATGTATAATACATTTTTCTTACAAAAATAAAATAAAAATGGCACATAATTCAGTCTGCTCCCTGTGAGAGCATTCAATATGTGTAGAAAAATTAAATTTGGGAGTGAGGTAAGAAGGAAACAAGGTTTGAGCTAGCCCTGAGGTCATCCTAGTTCTTCTCTGCTTGCTTGGACAAATTTACTATAATTACTCTTTTTCTAGAATAAGCATATTTTTGCCCTTTTCTGCAACGACACTTATTTTATAATAGTTATTGCTCTTTTCAGCCTTGTGTATGCCACGAGCTATAGTTGGTCATGCCAATGTCCCTGAAAAATCACATGCATAAACTTTATCTTATTATTTGTTTACACTTCATGTAGTAATCATAACATTTTACATGAAATAAGGGACTTAAAGCAGAAGTAACACCACCAAATGTTATTTTTACCTACTAATATCCAGAATAATGGCTAGCACACCAAATCGTTTGAGGCAGCTCCTTAAACCAAACACAAATGTTACTTACTACTACCTCTGCAGTGTTGTTCTGGGGATGAAGATGTTGTCTATTCCTTGCTCTTTTTTTTTTTTTTGGAACACGATGTTATATGAACTCATTCATTTGCTGTGTTCTGATTCTAGTAATGTCTATTAATGACAGTATTTAGAGAAAAAACAATTTTCCTATCCATTTGTTCAGTGAGTTGGCTAATTAGCAACAGTAGCAACAGCTATCTATCTACAGCCTACTAACAGGAAGAAGTTTCTACACATAATTAATTCCCCTTATTGTCCACTCATTTATTTCATTATTTATAAATATAGCATGGCCTCCCTCTAATGTTCACTAGCTTGTTTTTAGCCTGACTATCTTTCTTTCCTTAAACTGCCTAAACTCAATCCTCTCCACCTCTGTCCACCTTAGGAAAGAAGAACCCAGTGATCGTGCTACTTTCCCATTAGCATCAGAACATCAGAAAAGTCTGGCTTTCAGCAGAAGAAACAATAGCTTTAATTGCTGCCATCAAAGGGCTAAGCGGTACAATTAGCTGTCTTAAACCCCAGTGTGCTTCAGTGTAAGTGAGCAATGCAGGGATTGCCACCAGCTCTCGGGAGCCTCGACAGCCAGAATGCTTCTGCTGTTTTAACAAGGAGTGCAAAGCTCCACTCCACCATGCAAACTGTTTTCCCACCCAGTTTACAATGCAGCTGTTAGAAAGAGAAGAAATAAGTCTCACTCAATAAAGTAGACTTCCCCCTTTTCTGTATAAGCCATTTCCCAGTTATCAGGCAGTGGGCCCAAGTCATCATTCTCTTCAGGTTTAGTCTGCTTTGTTACATCCATATCCTCCTTCGCTTCTTCAGGCTGAGTATATCCTGGTGCAGGACAAGGTTGGGTGGAAGATACCTCACCCGAGGCACCTGTACTCTTCTCTTCATGTTCACTGGATTCTACAAGAGAAGAAGAATTACAGATTATGTGTATCCAACTTAATAATGGAGAATTTATCAGGTACAAGTCTCCAAGAAATACTCTGTAAAATGCAAACCTTGAAATAAAGAAAAAACCTGTTGTGTTTACACAAGGGTTCTTCTGATCATGCATTTTATCTGGAACACAATAAAAGCAAATACAGCAATAAACCGAAGCTGAAACGAGAAACTAATAAAGAGCTAAGAAACAAGCCAGAGAGTTCTGGCTCATTTTGTCCCAGTGGTCCTTCCAGACCAACAGTTAGCACTGAGCAGAAGGTAGCTTTATATCCAGCAGTGCTACTGTCTTGTGTCTTAACTTTTCAAACTATACATGCATAAAGCAACTACCCTGCTGTTTTACTACAGACGGCAGACCCTTTTCAATTAAAAAAAAGTATATACACTAATTGCTTTACCTATATCCATATATCAAAGAGATCAATATGACATCTGTCAAGTCATAGCAATATATTAACTGTACAGAAAGTGGCTGTGATTTCATTACCAATATAATCTGTGGGAGGTTTAGTTTCCCACAGTCAGAGCCAAATGCTTCCTATATTCAATGTGGTTATGTCTCACTGTGACCAAGAACATATTCCAGAAGGAGTATTCCTTTCCTGTCTTTTTCAGTACTTGGTCTTTCACTTTTTATTGCTTTTACTTTCGATAAAGTCAAAAATTAAAAAACAGGGTTTCCAACAGTATCTCTACTATGATCAGTTCCCCCTGTTCATTCCACATACTTTTAGCTAAGCAAGTGCAGTATTAACTTAAAAAATCTACTGAACACAAACATAAGACAAAACCATAAAGATACCTCAAAAAAAGTTAAGTATTAACTTAAAAAATCGACTGAACACAAACATAAGACAAAACCATAAAGATATCTCAAAAAATCAACTGAATAGGGGCCAGGTGTGCAATATTAAGAGTCTAAATGTTCCTTACCCACACTGTTGAACATTTACCTCCATGCGTACGAGTCTACACGTTCATCTGCATGAATGAGTATCGCATAGGAGGACTTCTAAGTACATAACTGTTAATGACAGTGGAGAAAATACCATCTTTTCTTGACTACTACTAGCTCAAACAGAAGACGGTTGAGAGAACTTGTCCTGCTAAAGAGATTCCTTCACCCTTGGAGGTGAATATATCTGTCTATGTATGTGCTTGCATGCTGTGTCTACTATGTATGTGTTCATATGCTGTGTTTTATCATACCTATCTAGTAACTATTCCTTGAAAAAATGTGGCAGGAACCTGTTACCTCAGCAGATAACAGAAGTTTTCATCCATATATCCTTTTTTTCTGTTGCTTAAATGAAGCCTGATCTCATTGAAAAAATAGTCAGATACCTACTTTTGGTCAAATGAAGTGCAACTAAAATAAATTCACAATTTTAATGTATGGACTGAATTTCCATTGACTCTGATGGGATCTTAGTCAGATGGCTGAAATTACCTTACATGTTAAGTTATGTAACCAAATTCAGTCATGATTGAGGTAGTTGCTCAGTTTCTACATAGCTAAAATGAGGGGAGATGAATCTGAGACCTAGTGAGCATGGCTTTACATTAGGTTACTTGAAAGCTAATGACATAAACTCATCAACAAACATAGACAATGAATATCGGAGAACAAACTGTGAAGTCGTACACCAGTATTTAATCAAAACAATACAAATTTGGTGTAACAGAGACTAGACTGATACTACCACAGATTGTCCATAAAGATATGTAAGGAATGAAGGAAGTATGTATGGTTTTGTATAGTAAAAAATGTACACACACTTACTCCAAATAATACTATAGGGACTATATTGAAACCTGTGGATAATTATAAAATAAGAAACAAAAAGAGGAGAAAGTACATTTTTAAAAGAAATCAACAATGTAGTCTACAATAAAGTTCAAGAAGATGACAATTTCTTAAAGAACAAAGAGTGCATACAGAGTACGAAACTATGCCGATACTCAGGTCAAACACGTAGGAGGTGGAAGACGACTTGAGTGAAATGATCTAATTTGTGATGCTTAGGGCAGCAAGAAAGAAGAGCAACAAAAAGTTAACAACAGTGACCCTGAAAATCCTAGATTTAATAAACCCACAGAATTAGTAAATTTGAAGTTATGGTAAGCAAAGGTAAGGCAAAGTGAGTTCAACAGAACTGGTAAAGGTTAAATAAACAATACTAAGAATGTAAGCACTAATAGTTCTAACAAACAAGAAAAATAGTAAGTATAATCAGAGATCATTTTGATTAAGCCATGACTTTTTGATAGTCTGCTACATGAGATAGAATTGTACAAAAGGTGAAAACTAGATTGCATTGTTAAGGATGAACACAGAAAACCAACATGGGCATGTAAGAGCAAAGCAGAAAAGTCTAGAAAATGTGACATAGTCAGGAACAATAGAGGTGACAAGGAAACTTTCTGTAAGTGCATTAATAAGAAGGAGACCAATATCAGACTCATTTCACTATGTGGGAAGAAAGGTATCCTGGTTTGAGCCAACCAGGAAAGCTAATAGTATATGACACATAAAAGAAACCCAAGGCAGTTAGCACTCTTTGTGCCTCAGTCACTGCCGCAGAAAAATTACCAGTGATTATATGACTAACATAATTAACGTCAGCAATGGGTCTAAAGAACATGGAGTACAGTGGGCAGAGGACAGGTTGAGTAAAACTTAGATAAAGCAGCTATTCTCATTTGGCAGAACCTGATGAAGTAAAACCTAGGCTACTGAGGGAACCAAGGAAACAGACTCATGGGCAGTAATGGCTGTACTCTTGAGACTTCATGGAGAAAAGAAACTTCGAAAGGTCAGACACAGTCCTGTTTTCACCAAAGTATCTATGATTTAGGTTTTTAGATAGTTTTATGTCTCAATTTCCGAGCTCCTAAATTGCCTTTGAAATAACTTTCTTGGTTAGATCATTACATCTTTTTGTAAAAAAGGAGGATGATGACCCATGAAACTGTAACTTCACATTGTTCTAATTCCTAGAAGGTGTTGGGACCAGCAATCAAACCACCTACATGTAAGCTCCTTAAAAGCGATAAATAATTGTCAAGGTTTCTTTCAGGAAGAAATTGTGCCAAACTAATCTTGTTTCTTTACATGACAGTAACAGGTGCTGCTTGTTGGGGAGAAATGGTAGATATAGCTTTCATGATCTTAAAAAAAGACTTTTGACACTGACACATGCAGCATTTTAAAAGAGTGTGAAAGAAAAGTAGATCCAGTCTTGAACAGGGTAATGGTCTATAGCTCTACAGCCATATGCAGCTCGTGTTACTAAATCTTAACTCATATTTGAACTACGTGGTATTACACGCCCTACACATGAGGGATGTCTAACCACTATCTTCAGTCAATAATGATACTATTGCAAAATAAAAATGAGCATCATAATAGGCAGAAAGAGTAAGCATATGCGATACAGGTCCTTTCACCTTCAGCTAAAGCAGAGAGAATATATGGTCTCCACTTCTCCTGACAATAGGACAGTGTAATTGATGATAAATTATTTGGGGCTTTTGTTCTTATCTCTGCAAAACAAAAGTAAGTTCTCATCTGTCTCAAGCACCCTTGGCAGATATGTGAGTTGGTTCGGTTCAGCTCAAACCAGGACAGTTGTATTCCTGAGGCCACCTGCAGTCTTGACCACGCTTCTACTACAGGAAGAATGCTGTACTGATCCAGTTGAAGATAAGACATAAGGCCACACGGTATATATGAAGCAGTAGAACAAATAAATTTGGAGCACAGGTGAACCACACACAATGGCAATGATAGGCCAAATGGTCTGACAAAGCACAGATGTGATGACATTGCTGAGTCTTGCCTTTTTACCATCATATCTGCAATGTGTTTTTTCCTCAAGAATTTATTTTCAACAGGTTTAAAGATGTCAGATTCTTGATTTCAGTAACTATATTAACATATCGCAGCCATCATGATGTCAGAAAAAATGTGAACACTAAGCCTTAAGGATTAGAAGAAATATTCTGAGCTTGTCTAAGATAGAGATTGCTATCAAAATACAGCAAGGAAAAAGGAACCTGATGCTCATTTAACAATTTAAAAAATTAATTATTTTAAAGCCAGTCTTATGATTTATTAATTACTGGATCATTATCTTTTAATAGCTTACTTTGATACTGGAGAAGGCATCATAATGACTAAAACCCAAGCAATTAAGGTAGAATAGCCTAATGCCATTTAATAATACTATGTTTTACACAACGGACATTCTAGTTATACTTCTCTGGAATACAGCCCTACGACGTCATCTTTTGTTATATGCATCTATCATTCACATGTTCCAGGTAAGGTAGATATTCACCTTACTGGTTTTCCTTCTGTTCATATATATTCCTGTGTAAAGTTTCATTCAATAAAACACCATAGTTCTGGTTAAAAACTAGCAGTATCTTAAATGTACAAGTAAAGCTTGAAATACTACAGTAGCACTAATACTTTATCCTCAGACAATATGTGATATAAAAAAGATCCTAAAATTGTACCATAATATGAGTCTAGAAGTATTTTTGTCACTAAAAAAACAATCAATTGACTTTACAACAAGTCAGATAGCCTCCTAGGGCTGCCCTCTCTCTATAAAACAGATTACATGGTTCAGTTTTCAAAAGCAGTTTAGCACAGTATCTCAAGAGCGAGTGTCCTGAGAAATGACAGAATAGGCACAAGTAAAGCACTAGCGCACATATTGCATATGTGGAATATAAAGAACTTTGAGAACAAGATAATATGTATGTTAAAAATAAATATTTATAATTAAATACTGTAAGTTCATCTCTGTAGTACTCCAACTCCAAATACCAGGAGTTAAATGTTACTGTTTGATAACATGTATTTTCTATATAGCTCTTAGACAATATGGTGACCATTAAAAACAAAACCAACAAAACTGCTAATTTTGTTGTCACAGTCTCAGAAATTGAGCCTTCATCAGCCTTGTCACTTTATTCCTTTATTTTAGTGCTGTAGATTATTCATGCAGTGAAGTTTAAAAACTTTTTCTTTTCTTCCGAAAGAATCAACTCAAATGACCTAAGCAATATCAGCAGAGAACAAATTAAAGGAAATATTATTAAATGGTAATTTATGGAGTGGATTTAGCAGCTCTTAAAGAAAATATTGCAGCTCTTTATACCCTTACTGCATCTAAATGACTAATTTGTTAAATTCTGCACAGGAAACAGTCCATCCATTTTAACTAACTACTGGATACAAGAGTAGTGTAACTCATGTTTGCTGAGCTATATGCATCTATTTTCCTGTGAAAATATCACTCTGCAGCTTTGGAGCTGCTCCCTTTCCCACAGAACTGTAGCCATATTTAGGGTTTGGTGCTTTGCATTGAGGCACCATTCCCACTGACTAACAGAGGAAGAACAGAGGAAGCTCATGTCGGGGAAGAAACGCAGGAGACATGGAGGCTGAGTGAGCACAGGGTATTCGTAGGTCACAGGTTATGACCTAGCTGTGATAAATTGAATTTAGTGAACACACCTACAACAGAAACATCAATGTATTTTTTAAAACCTCATGGCTCTTGAATGCCATGTGTGTTATTTTCATGCCTCCGTCTGTCTTTGCTGTGTAATAACAGAAGGAAAAACTTAACCTGCTGCCTGGGACTACCACACCTTGCATGGTAATTGACGGCATAGGGACTCTAGCCTTTTGCTTCATTATCAACTTAAGGCATAGAACGATCATTCTGAAACTTTACGTCATATCTTATCCCTCAATTAATTTGAGCCTGCCAGAACTTTAATTCTCTGGGTGCAACTTATTGTCGCTCAAGTAATGTTAGAATAGTGCACATCCATAAGCATTCTCCCAATGTTAGAGTCGTTCTTCTGGAGTTTGGATGATACATACTTAATCAGTTAGAATTGTGAAGCAAATGTGAGATGACCAACACAATGCCAAACCATGATGAGGATTGTGAGGATGACTGACTTGATTCTCTGCAGAAATGAACAGCAACAGCAGTGAAAACTGACTGTCTGACAAGCAGGTTGTAGTTTCACCAAGACTCTTTTTACCTCTATTGTCAAGGCATCAGTTTTGCAGAAATCGTTCATTTCAATGCAGTGTCCATCAGGAAAGGCTTCGTGGGTGCAAAATGTCTCACCCAAGCCAGTGAATGGCATAGATCCAATCCAGAGGAGTCAGAAGCCCAGTAATGTGAGTAATTGCACTAGATATGAAAAATCAAATGATAACTCCAGACTTGGTCATCTTAAGAGCTGACCTATAGACTGTGTCTCTCATATGCTGCTTGGCAAGTAGTAGAATTCTTCACTTAAATGTAACCATCTAGGCTTCTGTTTATCTGTAGGCTGAATTCAGCACTGTAGATTGCAGCGGTGATCCCCTAAAACGGGTATCTAAACCAGCTAAGATCTCTTACTCTTGGAATTGCCCATTTCTCCTTACTTCATACAAAAGTAGAGGAGAAAAATAGCTCAAACTAAAAGTAAGGCATTTAGGCATACAATTTAAAGTTGGATGAAAGAAATCCCATCTCCCAATTAACACTATTTTGTCCTGAGAGAACTTGATCCAAGATGAAGTACTGGGTGTGCTCCATTCCAAAATGGCCAAAAGACCCATCCTGAAGAAATTAGAACGATTGCTGTTGGGTTCTCGACTGAGAACAAGTGACAAAAATCAGAAAGAAGAAACACATTAGGCAGCACAAATTAACAAGAATACAGTTACGGATTGTGCCTGATGATCTCCAGTCTGTCCATACAAAACTGTCTGCAGGGAAATCTGAGTGCCTATCATAGAATCCTAGAATGGTTTGGATTGGAAGGGGACCTTAAAGGTCATGCAGTTCCAACCCCCTGCCACAGGCAGGGACACCTCCCATTAGATTAGGTTGCTGAAAGCCCCATCCAACCTGTCCTTGAACGCATACATGGAAGTGAACCAAAAAAAAAAAGGATTCTTACTAATAAATCTCAAAAGATGCACAGGTTATCTCAACAGACACTGAAAATAAACACAAAGCACGAAGATCTCTGCAACTACAAATGTCACATACCGGTCAGATAAGGATAGGTTTATTTTATTCAGATTCATCTTAGATCTTTTACTGCTTCAGTTTAGCAGTCCTAGGTGTTAGAGTGGTCCTTCAGCTGGCAGATTCTGATATCTTTGGCACTCAATAAGGCATTAAGTTGCCAAGAATCTACAAAAAATGTATCAATGTTTCAGATGTCCCAAGGGTCTTATATTTAATGAAAGACTCCTGTTAGAAGTGCAGCATTTTAAATCGAATACACCTTCTAACAGAACTGGAAATAAGACATATCCTGCCTTTGTTGCTTCTTCATAAATATGAGATTGCTCCCTTTACCACAAGTTTTTTTTTTTTTTAAAACCATATAAATTCACATATTCTGGTTTTCCTGATTGTTCAAAGACACAAACTACAAATGCACGCACGTTTCTGAGGTAGCTAAGGCTCTGTCAGCTCACAGAGTAAATGACTGCAGTAGCAGGGTCCGTGGGAGTTGCACCGCCCAACAAAAGGCACACAGCATGTATGTACAGAGCTGCTTTGCCACAATCCTCAAAGTCTTCAATCAGTGTAACTGAACAACAAAACCCTGCTTATGAAACCATGAGAGCCAATACAGGCACTGCTTGTTCTGCTGGCCACACCTACAGGCGTCACTGTGTGGGGGTGAGGAAGGGGAGGAGGGGGGCTGTCTTACACCCTTGCTCATGTATTTCATTTCGTAACAGCACATGGCAGTGCCTGTTTCCTGGATGCTGCCTAGTCATTGTTCACATAGAATTCACCTGGGAGAAGCAAATTATAGGTGTACAACGCAAGGGGAAAAGCAGGCAAATGTTGCCTCTTGATCCATTCGAGCCGAAACATATTGCCCTGGAAATTGCTCCTCAGCAAAGGTCCCTTCTGTGGTACGTTTTGAATAACTGCAAGGAATGATCTCTCTAATGATTTCTACAATACACACCAGACACCAAATCCTGCCTTTGCCTCTTTCGTTGTGGAAGTATCCTGGCAACGGAGCCAGTGCTGATGTTTTACGTAAGGATTTCTAGGCTTCGCCCTTTTCTGCTTAGCTGTGTAGGAAAGGCACTAAGCATCAGCGCAATGAGAGAGGCTCACAGAGCATGGCTGGTAACGGACAAGAAGTAATGCTGCAGCCCTTTGGCCAGAGGAGATGGGAGAATGAGATCCACTCTCACTTCACCCCCTGCTTCGACCCACCTTGTACCTGAGAGTGGATTCTCCACAGGGATTTGCCCTTACATGTAGTCTTCAGCAACAACTGCAGAGAAGGATGTGGCAAATACAGCCCTGATTGGAAGATTCTATGATTCTACATTCAATTCAATATACTTTCTAATGCAGCAGAAGGAAAAAAAAGTATATATAGAATCTGCAGTATGTAAATTCTTTTCCTAGTGCTTAGAAGATTAGGTAATGGAATTTTTTCCCCCCATTAACCTACACATTTAGAGAACTTGCAATATTCCATTTTATCTTCTCATCCGTATGACTGTCACTGCAGACTTCTGTGTGAATAATTTCTCAGAGAGATATACAAGTCTGGATTCTTTGACTTCCTACCTGAACAACAACAAATCATTTCTTAAATGGTATTTCAGAATAAAAATTTTTAAGTACTGCAAACTGATGACTTGTTAAAATGTTGAAAGGGAAGCTGATCACCTGCTTGGGAAAAGGCTGGAGTTCTCTCACTCAGGATGCCAATCGGCATCTCGAACTCCTTTTTTTCCCGAAGAACTATGATGCAAGGGCTAAACCAGCTGCCTTTTAGGACTGCAAATCTGAAACCTTTATCAGTTTTATGCAGGCTCTGGAACATTGCTGTAAGGGGTCCCTCCTGAAGTATCATCAGCTATGTTTCATCAGCAATGCCTCAAATTCATTAATATGACAATTTTATTCTTCCACAATCTTGCTAAGATTTCATAACAGTTTACAGATCTTCACTAGTGTAGTGAATTCCCTTGTGAGTATCACCATGTGAGAACAAGGAGACCCAAAACATGAGATTAGATTAATCTGACAAAATTACAGTTTTCTAGACTCTCTCTATAGTCAGTGGAGAGACAGGCACTTGTGATTGATTTCCTAACCTAGAAATCTAAACCAGGTCACATGAACTGTATTCAGGAAGCAAGTATTTTTCTCTTTGGTCTACAAAGAGGGTTCAAAGGAACTAGTTCAGACACAGATACTTTACACTAGCTAAGGTAAAGCAAAATGACTCCCCAAAATGGAGGTTAAGTATTTTGGTTCAGGCTTCAGAAAAATCCTATTATTCAGAATTCCTGGCCTTCAGTCTTGCAAGAACATCCTTACCTGAGCACACACATTCTCACTGCAGAAGGAGGTAACTGAGGACTGTGTGAATAACAGAAATGCATTGCAAAGTAAGAAGGAGGAACAGACCTGGTGTTACTGTCACGTCATTTCCATTGACCACAGGTCTTTCTTCCTCTTCTTCCTCTGGTGGTTCAATACCTGTCTTCTCCATATTGCTCACAGACTTATTCCTTTTACGTTTGCCTTCAGCCCCCGGAGTGGCACCTGGGAGGAGTTGATCTGTCACATTTAACAGCAATGGAGCTGGTTCTGCTGGAGGCTTCGGAGTGCCGTAATAGTTGTCTGGAAAGAAAAGAAAAGGACTAAACATGTAAATTTGCAGAAATTCATATGCTGCTGCTTCTTCTTTTGTCTTTGATTAACGGGATTATTTGAGGTAGGATCTGGTTCCTTAACTAATATAAAAAATAGTTCAGAATGTTTTCTGTGAAGTTAAATATTCACTTTTCATTAAATGGGAGTTAATTTTCTTAGTGATAGCACTAGTGATCAAATCATGGTCACAAGTACGTACTGTATTAACACTTCCTGAGACTTTAACAGGGTAAGTGAACCTTCCTCATACCCAAATACCTGACAAATAGGCAACATATCAGAGCTGTTGTCTTATATCAAATAGTTCATTAGGACAAGTTAGTTTTGTAACATTTATGTCATAATACAAGAGTTTCTGAGGGAACAAAAAGACCATAAAAGTATTTACTATGCTATGTCCTTTTCACCCTCCCCAGCTGCATTTCGCCCCTTTTCACCCACCTGCTTAGAAAGTAAATAATTGTTCAATGATTCAGAGATTTTCTTGCACTATCTAATTTTTCATATTTGTCAATTTTTTTGCTATTCATGAGTTCCAGATTTCTAATAGCTAACACTAATATATTTTCAAAGAAAGTTGAAACCTTATGCTTTAGGACTTAAAATTATCTCAAAGTACTAAGGAATTCTAAGAAGACTTAAGGTGCCTGACAGATTACCTTCTATTGGTTTCTCATGAGATTTCTGGCAACTTCCTCTGACTCATGTACTTTCTGTCAGAAGGACTATTGGATTAGATGGACCATGGTCTGATCTTATCTACCAGCATCTGTGTGTTTGCATTTCTAGCACATCTGATCTAAAAACTGGTTTCTTACTGACACCTCAGATTTGTTTTAAAAACTATGGCTAAAAATAAAATATTAAAATAATTAAATGAAAATAAAAAATTAGCAAGTCCTCTCTAGATGCAAATATACAGAGTAATATAAGACATAGAAGATGAAAACATGTTTTAATGCAGAGTTATCTTTTTTCATGTGCAAGTTGCATTGAAGGGCAGTGAACACAATGCAATACAAGAAGATTTTCAGCAGTTAGCTCAGGAAACTAAAAATGCTGTCCAGATACGAGAAATTGTTTAAAGAAAAAAGCATCTATGAGGATACTGAATTACTGAAGATATTTGTAGACTGTAAGACCATTTTCTAATTCTTAACCCACAATTTATGGTTCCTGCACAATCAAATAACAGTCACGACTGGCAAAATTATTTTAACCACATATGTGTGACACATAAAGAAATACGTTATATCTGCACAGTAAAACATCATAAGATGCATTTTTCAGGTAGTCTAAAAATGATTACTGGTACTACTAATCCTATGTGTTTCCAATGAATTACAACGTTCAGTCCCACAACCACCTCAATACAGGGAAGTAATTGAGCAGCCTTGCAACTGTTGAATACACTCTGAATTTTTCTCAGTGGTTTAGCAAAATTATATTCATAACAGATGTTTCTGTAATTGTAATGCACTAGAAAAATTTACTGTGTTAAATGGCTCTCATATTCACTCTGGGCTTGATGATGGCAGAGTGAAAAACTGACTCCCTGAAGACTTCCTTTTGATTTTCTGAGATGACAGTAGGTTTAACACAGACTCTGTATGCCAGCAGGGCAAGGAACATAGGATCAGAGAATTATAGAATTTTTAGGCTGGAAAAGACCTTTAGGATCATCAAATCCAACCATTAAACCAGGAGTCGTCCAGCTCTGGACTGGCTCTGGAAAGAGGTGAACTGGACTCATGCCACACTGTAGCTAAGATAAATCTTGCTAGGAACAATTTGACTCTGAAGAACTACCTCAGTGTTTCTTTTCCTGTCGCACAGTTAATCCGCAGGGCAGATTATTCAGCCCTGACTGAAATTTTACCATATATACAAATTTAAAAAACTGGCAGGAGATATAATTTTCAAGCACATGCTATATAATTGCTCTTTGCAGAACTTTTTCAGCAGATACTAGTGTCATTACGATGGCATTCCAGGTGGCAAATATACAGTCCTGCTAAATGTCCACTTGGGACATCCTAAAGACCTGTGGTTTATTGCTATTTGGAAAAACTAAATTACATTTTAGAGTTGTGCCTTTGGATGGCTGCCTGCGAGCTGCCCTCCCCCAGGTCTCTCTGACTCCCAGGGTTAAAGCAGGGGAGAAGGAATTGGCATCTAAGGGAGGAAAGGAAATCTACATTGATGCACTTGCAAAACTGTACTTCCAGAAACAACAGTCCTGAGCGCAGTGCTCAGTTGGAAGTCTACTTTTATATTTCCTTAAGAGTATATTACCTTTCTTGATGAGATTATATGTCTGAAATATTATATATTTTGAAAAAAAGAATTCCTTAATTAAGCAAATTTCTCCTTGAGCTAAGCCATTTTACCAGTCTGAAAGTTAATCAGTGCCACAGGTGCCACAAACTGTGAAACCAAAAGTGCAGTGCCTTGGCTTTTTTGCCTATGATACAGTTTTGCCATTGTCATACAAAATTGAGCATCAGTAGTAATTAGCAGTAATGCTAATAGCTGGAATAGAATATAAGATGTTTTAAATAAAGGACATGCTCATTCTATTTTTGGATTTTGAAGATTTTTCCACTTTGACTGATTGTATGCATTAGTGGGAGACAAAGAGAAAAGTAATAACAAAAAGAAAGTTATATGAATATGACATATATAAAAATATATTAAATGAAAATACACATTTAAGATTAGGAGCCAAGAAGGATTTCACTCTTCCAGTGAAAATGCAGTATAACTTCAAACTTCTGTCCTCTAACAAGTTATATGCTTTATAATCCATTAACCATTGATTTAAAAGTGAATTTTGCATTAGTTGTTGCTATTTATATTTATCTGTCTATCTACCTAGAGATATATATATCCTTAATTCTTTTCCATAAGCAGTGCAAATAAAAACAAGAAACAGGTTTATAGCTATTGACATAATCAATGAATGACAAAAAAGACGAAAGGAATCCAAACAGTTCCAAAGGCAAAAAATATACAGGATGAGATACCTAGCCATTTCAGTGGAGGAGCAATGCTCCATTAAAGAAAAAATAAAATCAATGTCAACTGTATCATCTATCAAAAAGAGTTTCTCAGTATCTTGAAATTCCTTGCCTATGCCTTAGAAATCATGGGAGACAACCATAAAGCCTCAGTAATTGTCATATCTAGGCGTAATACATAGACTAAATGTTTAAACACTACAACTCTTGTTGCAATATTTTTTGAAAAATTTCTGATAGCAGCCCTTTTTCTTCTTGCCTGAGCAAAGGACAGGGCTGGTTCCGGATGTTATTACTGACATATTCATAAGGTACTGAAGTTCAGCCTCCTGTAAGGACAAAAAGCACACCAAATAAATAATTTCAATTGTGTTTAATTTTTTTAAAAAAAAATTAATAAAAAAGAAGAAAGCTTACTGCAAGAAAACATAAGTCCCATGCTTATTGGCAGTCCAAAAAACCCAATAGTTAGGAGCTTTATGGAAAGGAATGGAGGACAAAACAGAAAACACCTTTATAGCACTATACAAAGCCACATAGCACCCTCCCTTTTGTATACTGCCTGCCGTTCTGGTACATGCCTCCCAAAAATTACATGGGGGATCTAAAGAAGGGCAATTAAAGGTTGGAGCTGCTTAAATTGATTGGGAGTTTTCAGCTTGGAAAGGGGACAAGTTGAAGAGGGATATGGCAGATATGTATAAAAAGAGGAGAACCCTGGGAAAGTGCCTAGAAAATAAGTGAATAGATGCTTGGCTGCTCACTACTTGAGAACAAGAGGATGCCTGATAAAATTAGCAGGTTTAAAACAAGCAGAAGAAGTGAGGGGTTTTTTTCACACAGTGTAAGAGAATAGTGGCATTCACAGTCAGATGCTGCCATAAATACAGTCAAAAAGCAATTATACAAAGTCATAGAAGAAAAAAACCCATGAAAGCCTATTAAATGTAAACGTACAAATTCTGAATCAAAAGTTCCATAAAACGTAGATAAATGAAGCACAGAATGTATCTCTGATTGCCTTTCCTGTTCCTATATTTTTTGCCTTAACATCTACCAAGCAGCAGTAGTAGGGACAGAGTATGGGGCTACAGCTTCCCTTGGTTTGGCTCAGTGCAGCTGCTTTCTTACTCAGGTGCCTCCTTGTTGCACTTAAAAAATGTGCATAGTTCAGTGCCATCCTAGAACAAAGCCAAGAGGTCAGTTTAAGCCAGAAGAGCTTAAGCTAAGTTCTTGGCATGGGACCCAACTAAAAGCCTTCAAGCAGACAGGTGGTGCAGAATGCATGTTTAATTGTGGAAAAACTACCACTGCTTAATCCACCTTGCTGCTGTGCTCCCAGCTGGTTTCAGAGTGCAGTTGAACACTGAAGATGGTCTAACCCAGCCTGTTTAACTTTGCTGTCCAAACGGACTTGGAAGCCACTGCACAACTGCAATTACTGAGTATTCCTTGACACCTCTAAGCTGTGTATAAAGGTCTACCCAATTCTGCAAAGAAGGAGGCAGATGAAATTACTGGGGAGATTAGCCCTGATGACAGAGACCAGATCAGGAAGTCAGACAGTCAGAAGCAGCACAAAAATGCAAAAATGAGGAGGACAAAGCAGCTATTTTTTTTTCTTAACCTGAGCTCACCTATGTCAGGAAGTAGTAAGGCTTTTATTTTCTTGATGAAGTGTTTGATGATGAAGCAATAGATCCTAACTTGCTTCCTGAGAAAAGGTAAGTCCTTTTGGAAGAAAAGAAGACAGAGCATTCAGGTGGTCATAAAGAAGCAGAAGAATCAACACCCTGAACTGGTAACAAGACTCAGATCTCCTGACAGTCACTACACCAATGTGCTTGACACCCAGTGATCCCAACCACGGGATGCAGTTATAAACGTGTCTCCCACGATGTGCTCCACTTTGCACGACATTGCAGGGACTGACCAACCCGCACTTTG